CAGCAAGCTGATGCGCCTTCGGCGCGATTCAACCTAGTTTTTTACTGGTTCGTAGCTTTGCTCTTCACTTTTCTTGAAGTGTCACGTAAATCTATAGTTATTTTTTTAATTTTTTCAAAAGTTCCGTCGCAATGATGGTTAAATGAGTTTCAGTAGTGAAAATTGCGTTTTGGAAGCAAAACATCGATCTTAAAGACGATTTTCTCAACTTCTAGGACGTATTAGAACATGAAATTATTTTCGTTATACTGATAATTCGGAACATTCCACAATTCAAACATTTTCTCAATTTTTTTTTCATATTTTCGATTTTCAATTTTTCAAGCTTTTCCTATTTTACGAACTTTCGAAAAGTTCAATTTTACAAAAATTATACAAAAACTCCGATAAATCGTCGGAGATATGAAATTTTAAGTATAACGACAAATTTTATTCCCTTTTTAAGAATTGAATGAACTTTTATATTTCCTGAAATTTTTTATGTGAATTTTTCTAATTTTCAAAATTGGAAAAAAAATGGAAAAACTCGAGAATCTGAAAAATTAACGTTTTTTGAGAAAATGTTCGAAATATGAAATTTGATTCCATTCGACGTCGAAAACAACACATTTCATGTTCTGAAATGTCCTAGGAATGGAGAAAATCGTCTTTGAAAATTGCAGTTTCACACTGAAATTGCAATTTTCGGTACTAAAATTCATTTAACTCGGCGCAAACTGGCGAATGCATTTCAAAAAAGCTTTCAAAAATGCCTATATAGGCTATTCTTAACCTGTCCGGTAAGTTTTCATCAAAATCTGGTTTTACAAAGGTTCCCTTTCAAAAATACTCACCTATAATTTTCCAATAATGATTTCATGCAGAAAAAGGCGGCTTTAGCAGACACTGATGAGTTGGTGAGCAAATGGGATAGAGTATTCTCAAAGTAGTTGCCGAGACCCACAAGACTAATCATTGCAGAAGTCGGTTGGCCGAAATCCTGGAAAACAAAGGGGTCACGGGAGCATGAAACATTGGGGTGAGGTACCTTCAACAATGAGATGGCTTCTTCTAGCTTCAATCCGGAAGTCGTTAAGTATTCAATGACGGCCGAATGATCTGCCTCGCTAAAAATAGAATAAATTATTCATGTCATTAATTTTGGGTCTTCTTGAATTTTCTTTTTTTCGTATCTTATAAACCAACTCACCCAGAATTGTTTACATCAAGCGTTTCAAGCAAGTTGACACTTGATATTCGATACGCATCCGCAATAAAATGAATCTCTTCCGACATCTTCTGTCGTGCTCGATACTGCGATACGAAATCGTTCAACGACACTTTTCCAGAGATTGCACATTTGTCGAAAATCTCGTTGACATCTCCGACAGACAGAAGATCGAGCTCGGATGTCGACTCGCAAATTGTGTGGACGTCATAACGCGTTAGTCTGCAATACAAATACCGTTGAATATGAATATATAAAACGATCGCTCATCAATCTAATGGAAAACAATTACGCTACCGTTGCGTGTCTTTAATGCCAAGCGAGGAACTGGATTTGTATGCAGCGATGAGTAGTTCATCTTGGTTTCCGGACGCTAGATCGATGATTTCCGGCAGGAATAGTAGGAAACGGTCTTTGAATTGCTGGAAATTATGAGGATTAGTATTTTAATGGCAATTTCGGATAGTTTTTACAGTGATTTCCTTTTATTTGCGGCCATTTTGACCATTTTCAGAAGTCTAGAGCTCGGCGGTCAAGTTTTCGATCACTTTGAACATTTTGGAGAGAGTAAAACAGACCTAAATTGAAAATTTAGCCTATTCAAATCTTTTGAAAATTCTATTTCTTCAGCTATTTGCCTGCTTCGGAAAACCCCTTGTTTTTGGCCCTTTTTTGAAATCAAAACGTAAAATACAAGTTTCTTGCAGAAATCGGCAAATAGCTGAAGAAATAGAACTTTTCGAAAATCCTGAAATTGCTAAATTTTCAATTTAGGTCTGTTTTACACCTTTCAAAATTTTCAAACTAATCGGAAACTTGACAGACGAGCTTCAGACTCCGGAAGATGATCAAAATAGCTGAAAATCCACGGAAATTCCTTTTTTAAAATATTTTTTTGACGGGTACTGTAGCTTCAGGCGCCTAAAAAACAAAAACCCACATTAAAATTGATGGCATGGTCGTTGCATAGCACTCTGTCAATTATACTACCGGCGAAAATGGATAAATTGAGCTTTTCGCATAAAATGAGCAATCCGTCCTTGTCCAATAATCCATTACGTTCAGAGTTGCATGAGTTGAATAACTGCAAAACACGGGATTACGGTCATCTGGTTGAAATTCTTTTTCTTCAAAGACTTTTAGTGCGTTTTTTGTCAAATCTTCTCATGTAAAATCTGATGTTTTAGTTGAAAATTCAAAAATCAATACACTCACCCTTTTAAGTTCCTTTACATGTACGTTTTCATCGCTCAAACCTTCATCTTGTTGAGCCATTGACTGCATTCAAATCATTTCGAGAATATTCCTGTAAAAAAGTGATTTTTATTTTCCAATAAACCATCAAAACGCCACGTTTTCAAAAAAAAAAACGAATTTACATAAAAAGGAAAAGCGTATACCGAGAGGAAATAGAAAAAAGAAAAGTAATTTCGAAATAACGGTTGAGAAAAAAATATAAGAAAATATAAATGGTGGGAGGGCGGCAAAAAAGCAAATATGTGTGTATACGAAAACGAGCGTGGGGGTGGAAAATAAAAAATAAAAATGACAAGAAAACGAAAAGAAGCAGCAAGTTATGGACCAAATAGCGAATCAGAATATATGGTCCCATGAGAGATGGAATCTGACGGAACGTACGAAGAGGAGGCAAAGAAAAAGATGAATAAATTGGGGAGGAGGGATGGGGCAAACAGTATGAAAAGAGTGAGAGAGTGCTCGACACAACAAGAAAAACCCCCCTTCCGTACACCCCACTAGACGTAGTGTGTATTGGCCGAGGAGTGTCTCTTTTGTGCGGCCCCCGATCCTCTCTTCCTGCCCTCGATGAGCTGTAAAAGGATCACCTATGGTCTCTTTCCTACACACAATCCAAAGCCAAATTTTATAACCCCTAGAAAAAGGCAATATACTGGTTGGTTTACTGGGTTTTTGGGTCTCTCTGTTGAATCCGGATAGAAAGACCATAAAACAGTGGGTGGAGTCAAAATGGCTGGGTTTTGGGGAAGTCGAACAAAATGACAGCTTCGAGAAAAAGGGACCCCTTGCGGTGTGTAATTACTACTTCTACCAGGCGTCCCCCAGCCACTGAATTATTCAGTTTCGAGGTCAATAGACGTGGGAGACATGGCTACTTGTTTCTTATGGCGAGTAGTAGTGCATGAGAGAAACCCCAAGAAAAACCAAAAACATCATATAAGACGATTTGTCAAAACGAGGAGAGAAGAGGCGTGTAAGGGGGAGAGGGGCATGGATGGGATCCAGAGAAGATATGTGTGGGGGGGGGGGGGCATCCGCGGAGTCATGAGGTGGCACAGAGGGTACGTGGTTTGAAATAAATTTTGGACTAAAATAGAAAAAAATTGACAGTAAATTTAGACGATAAGATCGCTGTGAGAGGGAAAACCTAATTAAAAGATAAAATCTAGAAAATTTTATTTTCCAGTTTTCAAAATGAATGCATTAGAGGATAGTATCTTAGAGCTATAGATCGAATTGCAATCAACAAGGAAATTCGTAGAAAACTTTTCCGAGACAGCCGGAGTACCGACAATAAAAGCCCACCCTATCTGTGCACTTTGATCTTGATTATCTCGATTCCCATACGAGAAATCAAAAAATTGTCAACTGATAAAATATTAATTATAATATGATAAACATTTTATCAATTGACAAATTAATGATATCTTTCACAGAAAACAAGATAATTGGTGTACGTATAGGGTGCGCTTCTATAAGAGATTTCACGGTATCGCAAAAACCTTTATTTTCAGTTTGTCTAGTGTTACAGTATTCTACACTAATTTTAAATATGCTATAATCTATGATTTCACACTTCAAATCAAATAGCAAGTGTTCTAATTCGATTAGTGAACAAACCGAACTTTTTGTTCTTGAAATTTCACACTTCAACTGTGTGGGAATTGTAAACAGTAATTTTAGAACAAACTTACACAATTTTGAAATTTACGAAATACTAAAATACAATTTCGAACTATTCGGGTTCAGTGAACATAGGGATTTGAAAGCCCTAAATACCATAAAACCTCTAACAAACAGGGTTTTTTAAACTTCAAGCCAATTTATTTCGGCTCCTGTTGAAGATATCAAAAAGTTGTCGATTCATATAATCTTTACCATATTGTCACCAAGATTTTATCAGTTGACAGGTTTTTGATATCTCTTACAGAAATCGAGATAAATTGGCTCAAACTTGATTGAGCTTTTCTGGAATAGGTTTAACGGTGAATCCTTCAAGCCTAATTTTTGGAAATTCTAATACTCTGTGAAAGAAATCAACATTGTTTTTTCAAAATTCGCATAACACTCTAACATAGAATTCGACAACTTTCACAAACTAGAACCACGTACTTTCCGAATGATTCAATAGTTGAGTGTTTGTCAAACTTTCAATACACTTCCCGAACGGAAAAGAACCGAATTCAAAATACGGCAGCCAAGTGAAAGCGATGACGTATTGAAAGATTCCAAGAAAAGTAAAAGGTGGACAAGTTCTTTTTATATTGTCATCTGCCCGTGAAAAATCACTAGCCGATGTCTATCAAGCGAATGCGAAGAGGCAATCGGCGGAGGACAGAGACGAAGAAGTGCTATTTTGAACCTGCCGAAACGTTGATTCCCTAAAAAAAGTGAAAACTAGTTTTTCGCACGGCCACTGACTGACAAATTTGCTCGATTTATATATTGGGACAATGATGACAAAAAACAGTAAAATAAAGAACGTACGAACATTGTAGTTGAAGAAGAAAGATCAGAGGAACTATGATGGATCAGTTCAGTGTAATACATAAAATCTGAGTGGACATTCATTCCACGCGAGCATCATCATTCTTTACACATTGATTTTCGCCCGCAAACGTTTGTGTGTATCTGGGGATGTGTGTATTTGAGCGATCGGCCGTTCAAAGCTATTTGTATCAAGTTGAAATAGAAAAATTTTGGATGCTCATGTTTCATTCTCTCCCTCACAAAACGCTGACCGACCAGCTGGTCCATGCGATTAGTTACAACGACACGGCTGTAAAACTATGAGTAGAGAGAAAGAAGAGAAGAGAATGATGAGTCAGTTTGAGGGAAGAGAAACAGAAGGCAAAGATTTATTAGTAGACGTTTGTTAGGCTTTTTTTTTCGAACAAACATCTGTTGGTGTAAGAGAAAAGAGGCAAAGTTCAAAAAGAAACGATATCAATGGATAGAAAGTGTGATGTTGATGTCAATGCAATAAACTTCTTCAACATGGTTCGCGGGAGATTAGTATTGCATTTTTTCGACCAGACAAACAACTTTATGGCAGTGAGAACCTTTCAGGTTTAAATTTGACGGGTTAATTTTCAGGAAAAATTTTAGAGAAATTGAGAAAAAAATTTGAAGAAAAATTTTGAGTTTCGGAAAAAATTGGGATAAACATCCTGGAAAAATCTAGGGTCTCCAAAATACCGTACTTCCACTGATAAAAGCCTGAATCAACCGTCAATTTGAGCTCAACTATCTGGATTACTGTAAAAGCTATCAAAATTTTGTCAACTGATAAAATGCAGGTGATATTATGATAAATAATTCATCAGTTGACAATATTGCGGGCTTATATTATAGGAAAAACGGTAAACACTAAATTTTGAATCACATGCAGAGCGTTACGGCTCCTCAAATAGATTTTAAAAAAGCCAGGTAGATCGAAAGGATTTTTATCTTTTTTTGAAAATTCTTTTTCGAATTATAGCTCTGTCAAGATTACGGTATCTTCTTTTGTCTAATGGCGCGTTCAAAGTTGATATCCAGGAGTAATTTCCTGGAAAAACGCTCTCCAAAGCTGCCATTGTTTTCCAGAGGCCTCCGCTTCGAGACCCGCCGTAAATCGACATGAATCAACAGGAAGAACACAGTCAAAACGAGTGATACAGTAGTTTAGTGTTGCTGTAAATCTGGAAAACAATCGCAGCTTTGGACAGCGTTTTTCCAGGAAATTACTCTTGGAAATCAACTTTGAACGCGGCATAATAAAAAATCTCCCTTAGTAGTCGCCGGAAAAAAAATGGGCTAAATTATTAGGATTCAAATTTCTACCACTTTACACCAATTCCAAAAAGTTTCATATCTTTAGAAATGTTCAATGTTCAATTTTTCAAAAAATTACATTTCTAACTTTTTGAAAATCTGAATATTTTTCCAAAATTTTAAAACTTCCATATTTTTTCCCTGCCTATAAAATAACGATAAATTTCGAAAAAAATTTCAGAAATTCGACTTTTTTCAACATTTTCAAAAAATCATAATTTCCAAATAGACTTACTTGACTTGAAACGTTGAAAAATTCAAACTTTTATTGAACATTATTGAATTTCAGTGAACTTTCTAAAATTTCAATTCACTTGAAAATTCCAGAAAAAAAAAGAAAAAACCAGTTTCTATTGATTTCCTATTCAAGAGCAGTTTCTTTGGAGCACTCAAGACTAAAATAGTATGACTCATCTCGTAGTATACTATACAAAAATAGTTTAGTTGATAAAAAACAGTAAACGAATGTGTCGAAAATTCGAAACTGCTAAAAGAGAAAAAAGGAAAACATGAAAAAGATGAAAGAGATGAACGGGTTGCAGCAAAGATGAACATCAAACTGAACAGCATGACAAAAAAAGAAGAGGCAGAAGACCTAGACGAAGAAGAAAAACAGCCGCAAAAGAGCACACACCAAATGGAAGGGTTCTCGCTTATGTCGTGCTCATGGAGAGCCCAGCAGAAAAAAAACCTTAGAAAAGAGATAGTGAGTAACACACCGGCGGCTCTGTGGACAATTTGAAAGAAAGAGAAAAACCGAGAACAGAACGTTTGTTTGGCTCTCTCGGTACAAAAGATCTTCTTCTTGCTCTTTGTGTCGCGGCTGCACAGTGAGCCCGCGATTGCACTTATTCTCATGTAAACACGCACGGAAGAAGAAGAAGGTGGTGACCATCACAACCTAGAGTGACTACCCACTTTAATCACTAACCGGGGGGGGGGGGGGGGGGGGAATGGCAAACATTTCATTTGTATTGATGAAAAATTTTTGTTAAAGAATAAGAAAAAGAAGAAGAAGAAGGAACAGCGCAGACGATGATGAGGAGAAGAGAAAAGAGAGAAAGGCTTAAAAAAGTAAAACTTGGAAGATGAAAGAAACGCTTGCTTTTTGGCATAAGCTTAAGATTTGGTTAGTGGTGGATTTTGCATAGTTCAAATTCCATTGATGGATTGAATAAGGAAATGTTGACAGATTAAGAAGATTGAGTTAGCTTTCTTGATTTTTCGGACTTTGGTACTCGAAGTTTATAAAAGAAAGAATGTAAATCTAATTTTCCAAATGAGAAAAAAACTTAAATACATAGGAATGCTGAAGAACTGATGTAGCACAAATCACTGTCTTTTCTTTAGTATAAGCCCACCCTGAAGGTGATAACCGAGCTTAGTTATCTCGGTTTCTTTGTAAGATATAGAAAAGTTGTCAGCTGATAAAGTACTAATCATAATATCACTAACATTTTATCAGTTGACAACTTTTAGTTATGTTATACAGAAACCGAGATAATTGAGCTCAAAATTCCCGAATAGGGTGGGCTTCTATTAGAACATAAACAGTATCCCAGTTCAAAGCTAGGAAAATACCAAAATGCTGTTCTTAAAAGATAAAATACACGCACACAAAATGCTCCGAAATCGTGCAAGTTCACTCTCCTTCTATGAACAAAGTTCAATGTATCAAACAAACAAATTATTATTTGCACAAAACAAAAAATTGACAGGAAATTTTCTTAAAATCATTGAGAACAGAAAAATTGCTACAGCGATTATTATTCTGATACAAAAAAATAGGAGTTGAAAGTCCCACAACAACAACTACCGTAACCTCAAAATGCCTTTATTTTCTCTTTTCTCGATATTTTATTTTCTCGATTTTCGTGCGCTTTTAGACGATTTTCCATTATCAAATTTTTTGAAATTTCCCGGTTTAGTTGGAGAAAATGACAGCAAACTTACCGAAAACCAGTAAAAAATCATAAAAATTAATATAGAAAAAAAAAGTTTCAGGTAATGGTAGTTGTCACTGTGGGACCTTTCTCTTCCATTTTTTGAACCAGAAAAATAACCAGAAAACTTATAAAAACCTTTTTGCTACTTTGCAATGCATGAAAATAGTGTCAAATAGGGTTAGGAAAACTTTTGTGTTGTCTTCCAAATATGAACATGTATTCAACGACGTGCAACAGTTAGTTAGTGATTTGAAATGGTAATAAGCGGAGAAAAAAGAAAAAAGAAAGAAGACAAAGAAGATGAAACAGTGTTTGTTGTTTTGTGTATGGAATGACATGTTATGTTCACTGATCTTTTTTAAAATGAAAAATCTAAACTTGAAACATTAGATTTTTTTAAAGATGAGGAAGAAATTCGAATAAAATGTCATATTTCTTAAGTGGAATTATTCGGAGTAAATTTCAAAATTCCCACTTCTCAAACACAAAAAATATGCAAATAATCACTAATCAGTGCTCCGGATTTCCGGTTCCCTTTATTTGCTTCTCTCTTATTCCAAATTACGTTTTTTTCCTCTTCCCGAGTATCACTTACTAACTCTCTCCCCCTTTGTTTAGATACACCTCCTCTCCTCTCCTCCTCTCTAACCTCCACACTTACAAAAATCACGATATGCGCAAAGAAGGACGGTTGACACGTCGCGCGGGCGGGTCAAAACGGTTTTCCGCGCGGCAAAAACCGTCCACGATGGTCCTTGTGTGTGTTGCGCGCCCCTCCTCGCTCATTATGTGTGTTGTACTTCTGCCATTGCGCGCACAAGGTCAATTAGTATCGGTTTTTTTCATGCGCTCTCTTTTTCTTATACTTTTAGATTAAATTTTTAGATATGTTAGATTTCTAGAGCTTCTTACGAGGAGGAGAAAATGCATTTTCTCTTTTTCTTCGTTTGGTTTTTTCTCCCTATCTTTCCAGATTCCTCTGCCTACCCAAACAATGCGCTAGCAAATAAAGTAGCAGCTCTCTCACCCTCTTTCTAAACTGATTTGCCCTCTCTTCAGTAGTTAAACCACAGAAAAAAACCCCTCGCTTGCATCACAACTCGCACGTGGTGCGGGAGGAGGAAGAAAACATCTACAAACTATTCTTTCTCTTCCCCCTTCGCCTGATTCCACCCGTCATCTTCACTCGTCATATCACACGTGTGCCCCCGTCCTTTGATATATCCTCATTTTTTGAGTACTTTTTTAGTAAAATTCGTGGTCCTCTTTGCCTTTTTTCAAGATAATGAGGCGATTCTGAATTTTTGATGCAAACCTTGGCAATAATTCTCGCTTCTTAGATGTCGCGATGCAATCTTGTCAATTAATCTCAATTCATTTCTTCCGCCAAACCATTTTTTTAAAATTAGATTCAGACGATGCCCCTGCGACGATTGGCTTTTGATTTCTGTACTATTTTTCTTTTTTCGCTCTATTGCGTGGCAAATAGAGATAGCCAGACGTTTTCCACATTATCATTGTGGTGGTGGAGCGCACAATAGTTTTGCCGAAAGCATACATAGAAAAAACATAGTCTCCACGTGCTGTTATCTCTTTTTCTCTCTCTCTTTTTTCTCTTATTAATACCTTGAAGTGCACGAAACACTCTTATCATATTACATCATTCACAGCCTAGTGAACACGCCATCAGCGACAACATCTTGATTTTCGCCGTTTTCTCTGAATCGCTTGTTTCTTTTTTTTTTGTTTAAATTCTCATTTTTCAGTACTTCCTACAATGTCGGAACTCGTCAAAACGCTCGTCCTCCGTCCGGACATCTCCAAACCAAAATGGGATCAGTCGACATTTGAGGGAAGAGCCAAGGTATAGGAGATTATGATATTTGATTTTTTAGAAAAAAATTTGTCAGCATTTCTTTGCCATCACCAACCCGCTGAATCTGTTCTACGGTACAAATCAATTGGATGATTTCAAGAAGATTGTCGATGAATACAGGTTGGTATTCTAAGTTTGAAAATTATGAGTAAAATCCGCGGTCGGCCGTGACTTAGGCCGTGGGTAGGTTGCCGTGGACCGATTCTCAAAAAGAAGGTCAGCGACTCAGGGACCATTAAGTTCTCGAGGCCGCCGTAACCTACCTATCTCAAAAATACCCTAATCAGAAAGCTGCGACCGACCGTAGCCTTGACTCATTGGCAAGATGTATCTTTCAAAATAACATAAAGTGCCAAATCCTACCCATCCTAAAAATAGCGTTACCAAAAAGATGAAGTCCTGCCTCTGGCAGCATTTGTCTAAATCTAAAGATTATGAATGGAATTTGACTTTGGAATCGGATTAAATGGATTTTGCGGAAAGCATTACTGGTAGATTAACAGAACGCTGAACTAAAAAAACTGATCCAGACCCCTATTAAACAATCTTTCAGAAAGGGAACTGTCTCCAACGATCTCACTGTCAACCAGCTCTGGAAGGCGAAACACGTTGTCGATTCGGCATTCCACCCATCCACCGGCGAGAAAATGCTCATGGTTGGCCGCATGTCCGCCCAGGTTCCAATGAATATGGCCATCACCGGAGGAATGCTCACATTCTACAAATCGCCAATGGCCGTCATTTTCTGGCAATGGCTGAACCAGTCGTTCAACGCTGTGGTCAACTACACAAACCGCTCTGGTGACGGTGGATCTGTCAGTCAGTTGCTCGTCTCGTACTGTTCCGCCACCGGAGGAGCACTCACCGCTGCTCTCGGATTGAACTCGCTGGTCAAGGTGAGAAATGGTTGAGGAATGGGATAGATCAGTTGATGATAACAGGTGGCTGTCTGGACTGGGGTGTCCGTGTTCAGATCTTTGGAAGAAAAATAATTGAAAAGTGACATCATTCGAGAGACATTTTCATTTTAGAAAGCACCACCACTTGTCGGACGTCTCGTGCCATTTGTCGCCGTGTGTGTGGCCAATGCTATCAACATTCCCATGATGAGAAGAGGGTATGTTTTGAGGTTTTAAAGGGGATTGCCAGTTGAAGAACATAAGGAGTTTCTCCGATTTTGGTCGGATATTGGCAAGATTCTGATTTTAACTCGCTCAAAATAGACTGTACAGCGGGCCATGGTCCGACTTTAGTTGAAAGTTCAGATACAACTACAGTACCATTCAATAAGATATACATCAACGTGTTTTTCATTTGAGTTTCGGCCATTTAAACCATCTTCAGAAGCTTGGTTTTCAAGTTTCCGATCGCTTTGAATTTTTTGAGGGACGTAACACAACCTGGATTAAAAATTTTGCGTTCACAGAATTTTTGAAAATCCCAAGTTTTAAGCTGTTCGCCGATTTATGAAAGACGCCTGTTTTTTCTGTTTTCAGTACAAAAACAGATCGAAAATGGGTCTTTTTCAGAAAACCGCAAGTAGCTAAAAATCCAGGAATTTTCGAAAAGTTCGGTGAATGCAAAACTTTTAATTTATGTCAGTTTTTGCGTGATCGGAGTGATTTAGATCTTTTAAAACATACTTGCTAAATCTAGGTTCAGCCCGACTCAGCCCTGGCCCGGCCCGGCCTGGTCGGGCAGGAGAAACATTATCCTGGCCCGCCGGCCCGGGATAATCCAAAAATTTCAAATTTTTTCTGTTAATTTTTGATACATTTTTGTCAAAATAATAATTTTAAAACACGAAATTTATCCCATGACCTTTCATAAACCTGAAAACAAAAAAATTTTGATAAAATGTTCCCAAAAATCCAATTTTCTCTCAAAAAATGACTCTTAAAAATTTTTGCCTCAAAAACCACGGGCCAGCCGGGCCGGGCCAGTGAAAATTCCTCCACCGGCCCGGCCCGCGACATGTATGCTTTAAAATATTTGTTGAAACAATCGGAAACTTGACAGTTGACCCCTAGTCTCCTGAAAATGATCAAAATAAACGGGAATCAGAGGTAAACTAACAACTAAGAGGTAAACTAACTAAAGATGTTGTACATTTCATTGGATGGTACTGTATCGACCATTCGAGCTACCTAATGTGAGCTTGGTTCAAGTCAGTAGCTCCAAAAAATCAACACTGTAAATCGAGTTTTTCAAGAAAAAAACCGCTTTGTAAAGACACATTCTGGCTTTTTAGCATCCTTTATTTCAAAAGAAAGTAATTGGAGGCTGCTAAATTTGTATTCAATTGGTGAAGTTTTTAATCTCTGTATTTTGAGCGTCAATATGGCATCTATAGCTTGAAGCATGAATAGCTTGAAACAGGGCTTTCTAATTTAAAGTTTTTTAGCTTAATGAAGGGTCTTACGTGAAGCAAGGTTCCTTAAGCCGATGTTTGACTCCAATGACCTTTGTTATTCTCCTTGAAATTCCAACCACTCAACTCCCGAATTTTCCAGCGAGCTCACCGACGGAATCGACATTCTTGACGAGAACGGACAGGTGATTGGACAATCACCAGGTGTCGCCAAGTCGGCTATCAGCCAGGTCGTCGTCTCTCGCGTCTTCATGGCAACCCCTACATTCGGTAAGAGAAAAAGATGAATTAAAAATTACAATGAACCCTAATTTTCTCTCCCTTTCAGCTTTCATTCCAGTCGTTGTGAATGCCCTCGAGAAGCGACCATACTTCAAGGCCAATCCGAAGATGTTCCTTCCTCTTCAGACCATCCTCTGCGGCCTTGTTCTCTCCGTGTCGACACCAGTCGGATGCGCGTTGTTCCCACAATTGACACCAGTCACTTTCGACCAAATCGAGCCAGAGCTTGCCGAGAAGCTCAAGAATTTGCCGAACCCGCCAAAGCAGCTTTATTGCAACAAAGGATTGTGAATGTGTATCAGTGATAAGCTCTTTCCTGTGTCTTATAAATAACTAAAGATAGCATTTGCCCCCCGGTTTTTATCATTTTTTGTCCTACGTGTGTGTTTATATTGCATTGAAAATAAATTGACGAGCTAGATTTTTTTCGGATGTCAAAATCAATCATCCAAATGGCTTTTTACTTTGATAGGATTTCTATCTAGTTTTGCCGGATCAGCAGAAGACCAAAGATCAGGCTACAACACCTGACACCACCAGCAAAGCACGCAAGACAAGACAGAAGTTCATTCGGGAATAAAACGGAAGCAACTGGGTTAAGAGAGAAAACTAGAAAATCATTACACAAAATTAATTAATTTCAGTGCTTCGAGCTTCAGATATTTAGGATTCTCAGAAGTCGTCGACATTGATGTAGACATAGTCCTCCTCACGCTCCAAGTCCTCTTCCTCCAACTCATCGCGAATTTTGGTCCAGATTGTGTCGAATGTGACTTGCATCTGAAAGTTTTACGACTGTAATGGTCTTCCATTGTCGGTTTTAATTACCCGAATGATTTGTCTGTGACGTAGACCAATTTTACAGCAAGTGTCGTCGTCGAAGACTTCTTTGTCGTCGAAGAACATGCTGGAAGAGGGTTGTAAAGTTTCTGACCTTCCCATCATTACTACTCACTCAATTTCATGCGGAAAGATGTTGTACTGCTCGGCATACATGTCACGAAGCTTGCTCAATGGAGCATGAGAGTGAATTGTGTAGTAGGAAGCTTTCACAACCTTCTGTAAAAGATTATGTTATTGTATTTGTACTGATTTTGAAGATCGTACTCCAGCGAAGTCCGTCTCGTACGCATAGACCCTGACAGTCTCGTTAGTAGTTGATGGACCAACATTTGGGACCACACGAGCTGTCGACATTTCTGAAAATTAAAGATGTCTGGAATTTTGAAAAACGTGGAAGGAAGGGGAAAAAGCTACAGTACCAATCAATCAGATGTAGAAAAAAGTATTTTTCAAATTGTTTTCCACCATTTCAGGAGTCTGGAGCTTGGATGTCAAGCTTCCAATCACTTTAAAAAGTTTGGAAAGTGTGAAACAAACCTAAATTGAGAAATTTGCACTCACAGACTTTTTTTGAGAAATTCTAGTTTTTCGGTTATTCGCCGGTTTCTGAAAGACACCTTTTTTTTGTGCTGATATTGTTAAAAAAAACCAGCACCTTTCCGAAATCAGCATCTAGCTTAAAAGCAAGAAAATTTATGCAAGTTCTGTAAATGCAGATATCTGTTTTACACCTTCCAGAAATTTCAAATTGATCAGAAACTTTGCACACGAGCTTCAGACTTCTGAAAATGGCCAAAATGACTGAAAACCGACATTAAAAAAATGTTTTATGTCTTATTGGCCGTTACGGTAATTCATGGAGCAGAAACGAATTCTTCAGTTTTGAAAAATGATTGGAAAGGAGCAAGCACATGAAAAGAAAAATGAAAAGGAGCGAAAAAAAATTGGTTGTGGTGTACTTCGTATGACAACAGCGGTTTGCTCTCAATGTGCCCCTTTCGCTTTTTGGAAGCCGTGTCTGTCTGGCACCTCTCCGTTCTCCATATAATCTAATGAATGACAGAGAATGAAAAACGGGTTGGCATGGGACCTGTGTCTCTCCGAACACGCCGTTCTCTTTCGTTTCGGAAACAGCAAGACGGCGAGAGTGGAGAAGCACAGGGTCCGCCCCACCGTCTTTTTCTAACAGATACCACGAGATGGAATTTATAGAGAACGGAGAGACAAGAAAAGCTGGAGCTTTTTTTCTCCATTTTCGCCGTGCTAGAAGACGTTTTGAGACGAATAAAGGAGAAGGGAAAATTGCTGTGGGTTTTTTGTTGCTTTCTCTGAAACGCAAAAGAAGCGAACCAAGAAAGAATCGGGTTGGAAAAAGAAGAACACTGCAGAGGAAAAACGAGGGAACAAAAATGAAAAAAGAAGAAGAAGAAGAGAGCGAGCGAGAGAAGGTTCACCCATATACAACGTACCGGAAATTTTGAATGGGGCTCATAAAAATGAAAGACGAGTGCGTTTTGTTTTTTAAAACGGGTTTTTGGGGGAAGAGAGTAACGAATGGAAGGGGTCATGAGGTTCAAAATTTGAAAGGTTTTGAGATTTTGCAAGTGTTTCGGCCAGAGATTAGAAGCTGTGCTGTATTTTTCTATAGTTTGATGGTTTATAAGGCTCTTGGACATTTCGCCACAGTGGTAATACAGGCGGATGGATAGGTTTGGGACAACAAAAATATTTGAAAAGTTTTCAATTTTGCAATTACCAATAGAACATATTCTGAAACTCTTTTTTTTTTCACTTTCCAAATTTTTTGTTGTGTTTTATTAGAGAAAAAAACATTTTTAACAGACCTAAAACGGTTTTTGTAGCCTCAAACTTATCACTGTGACAAAATATCTCAGAATCGTTTTTTACAGTATTCCTATGGTAGTCTGAAAGCCAGGAAGTTCAATTTAGTATGTAAAACCTGGCAAGAAATCAGCTGAAATTTAAATGCTGAACTTTTCTTCCGAAAAGTGCATACATTTTTGAAACTTCACGAAATGAAAATGCTGAGTTTATTTGAGTTCAAGGATTTTTTAAAATTCTGATATCAAAATTCAGGGTACGTCACAGATTCTAAAAATTAGATCAAACCGTCGAGAAATACCGTAAATTCTCTAAAAGAAGCCTCTCGTGCACTTTGAGCTTAATTATCTCAGTTTCTGAAAAAGACATCAAAAATGTTTTAACTGATAAAACATAGCTGATAATATGCTGAATAATATGCTGAAAAATAATATCCGTTGACAATTTTTTCATAACTTTCATAAGAACCGAGATATTTGAGCTCAAAGTGCACGTATAGCGTGAGCTTCTATTAGAGAATCCACGGTATTCAAGTTTTAAATCAGTTTTCAGATTCCGATTAGATTTTGAAATAAATCACATTCCGAAGCATCAGTAATAACCAAATTTTAAAAATTAAATCGCAAAATTAAAAAAGAACAACTCACTTGTCAATAATTTTGCCCATTCATTTGCCGAACAAACCATAAAGATACCTAACATGCTAGTAAACTGTAGGCAAATACTGTAGACGGCCCCTCATTGTCTCCAATTTATATACTTTTTCTCCAGCATTACATCTCCCCATCATTACAGTAATCTCTTCTTTCTCTTTATTTCTCTCTTCCCGCTTCTAGATCTTTTTCACTGAACTTCTCTCATCTAGAAAAAACCAGTGAAGAGCTATAAACTAAGCTTCGGGGTGTGTGTGGCTCAAAGGCTTATACTCGGTGGTAATTGAGTTTTCGTTCTCTCCCCGCTTCTTTCTTTTTCTTGAATTACAAAAACAAGAAGACACTCTATCTTCATAAAAACAAATCTCACGTTTTGCATAACCTTATGCAAGTAGAAGTTACATCTTGTCCTTTTTTGAATAGCAAAAGTGTGTGAAAAATGCAAAGATTGGAATCAGAAGAAGAAGAAGAAGAAGAAGGAGACGACACAATTCTCTGTTTGATGTAACACAATACAATACGAGAAAGCATGTAGAATCAATACTTACCGTTTAATTATTACACCCTCTTCACCCAAGAAGACGTTCTTGGCAAGAAAATGCCAATGACGCACACATAAGAAAGCAAATACGCTCTCTTGAGACGCGTCTGCGTCTCCATCACTTGCCCTCTTTTTCCCCTCGCATTCATTCATCGAGCCTCTATTTTTCCGTTTGTTCGTCGCGTTTTAATAAACCTAGTTTGTGTGGTGTCAATCATATTCAATTGACATTCTCATGAATAGTTGCTGGTTCCACTTTTCAATGAGCGACTTTTTGCACTTTTCAATCGTTTTTCTCTCAATTGTGTTGTTTTTAGACTTTGTGATACTCGTTTCGAATAAAAAAACGTTGTTTTATACTTTTTTTTCCAGAATGTCATAGCTATGATGGGTCAATGGATCAGATTGCTCCTCTTGTTCCATTTAGGGACCGTTCTTCTTAATGCTGCACATATACAGGGTTGGTTTTTTTTGTTTAAATGGCAATTTATCGATTTTTGCAGGCACATGGAATCCGTCCGAACAGAAGGTGGCGGTTCTCACCAAATTTGGGTACCAACAGACGAATGTGAAGAATGAAAAAGACTCGAGAGGATTTTTATACGGACATTTCTTGCCACAAGCCACGTTTAACTATTCGAGTGAGCCAATTTCCATCATTTTTGAATTGTCCAATGCATATTCATGATTCAGATCCGGTTCTACTCGCCATCGTATCATCAGAAAACATCAATATCTTCCGGAAAACGTCCACCGACTATGGAATGTCCTGTGGGTCAATGTTGAGGGTGAGTATTCATTGAGTAGTTGGAGACTTTTCAAAAAAAAGAAAATTCCAGAACTTGACGAACAAAGGATTCGAGCCACGATGCTTTCCAAATGGAACCAGCGACAGTTTTCGATGGATTCCTTGCCCGGACGGTCATTTGTGTAAGGGAGAGGATAACGCGGCCAATGTGATTCCAGGATACCAGATGACGATGCAGATTCAAGAGCGATTTAATCCCGAGCATTGGTTAGTTTTATCTATTAAAAAAACCGAGGAAAAATCATTTGCCATTGCAAACTGTCCGATAAAGGGTCCGGCTATAGCTTCTTTCCCGTAAAGACACCAGGTTAAAAATACCTAAAAATTGCTCGCTGAGTTTTATTCAAGGCTGTTGGGAAAAGCGCCGGCCGCACCCGGGCCATGGAAAGGTCGCTGTAGACCAAACCGTCCGCTTTTTGCGAAAATAAGAACAGCTAACCTGAAGAAATCTTTGGGTCACCAAATCCCAGCTGAGCCACAGTCACAGAAACGCTGCTGAGTCACCGAATCCCACTCATCCTAGAAATATCGTAAACGAAAAATTGCGGCCTTGTTTTTGACAGCCTTGGTTCTGTTCTTTCAGTCGGTTTAAAAATATTGAACATGAAAGGAACTATGCCTCGGTCGGTCAGTTTCGACTCAAAAGTATGGTGAAACCTGTTTCGAAGAAACAACCCCTTGACTTTTTGGTTTACAAGAAATTCCTTTATCACATACCCCTGAAATATACCAACAATTATTCTAGGTACGTCCTCCTAATCGCTTGCAATTTGGATTCCAATTGTGAATGGAAAGACTCCGCACCAAATGTTCCTATAAACTATGACATCTGGCTGACCAATGGGCGTCCTAATAGTGCAGCCGTCAGCTTTTTCACATTCAACTTCTCCTTCGACGAGCAAAACACTGTCCAACTGTTCTTGCTAACCGTCTGTATGTATGCCATTCTTTCCATCATCCAATCTGGTGCCAACTTCAAAAACCGACAAATACCTCCTAGAAGCATGTGAGTTTCACTCCAAAGTGCCTGATAATTTTCCTAATTTCCAGAATTCTCTCTCGAATAATCACCATGAAACTCATCGGATACAGCTTACAATGTTTCAACGTACTTCTCTTCGCATATGATGGTCAGGGATTTTTCATTGCCAGAATCGCTGGGGAAGTGTTGAGGTAAAAATATTGACGAAATGAGTTGCGAGAAATCAAAATATGCATTTTCAGAAACACGTCGGTCCAAGTACACTGTCTTCTGCTGATTCTTCTGGCCAAAGGATGGGACATTTCGTATCCTGGGACGGAGTATCCAAGACGGACCATCATCATGTGGGGGATTTTAGCCGGACTTGATACGATTTTGTTTTTCTATAATTGTGTAAGTATTTTGATGAAATTAATGGGTGCTCGAGCTGTGAAGCTAGCGTGGAAAATTTTAAATTGACTTCAAGTTTCCAAAATATGGCATTTTTCTGATCCCGGTCCGATGCTTCAACAGTAAAAGGTTTGCTAAGCAGTTTGTAGTAAAATCTTTGAATTATGTGAAATATGCCAGCATATTTGAATTATGCCAGCATCTAACTTTGCAACAGCGTAGCTCTCTCGGTAGCTTTTAGGGTGACCTCTGAAAAGTGTCTCAGCTCGAGCCCATTAGAAAATAAAAATACTGTATCAATTGTTTAGACATTCGTCTATGACGTCCTCCATGACGTTGACATCTACTCAGCATGGCCGGGGCACGGAATGATCCTGATCCGCATCGTCTATGCAATCTGGTTTTTAATCGAAATCCGAAAATTGATCGACAGCGAGCAGAACCGACACAAGGCAGAGTTCCTTGCACATTTTGGAGCTGGTTTCCTGGTTTGGTTCGTCTCACTGCCAATGATTGGAATTGTGGCGTCGTTTGTGTCCCAGTTGTGGAGATTCTCGCTTATTTTGGGTGAGATTCAAAACAACTTGTCGAAAAATACAAACGATTGGTATTACAGCATTGACTACGTTCGCTAACTTTGTGGCTCTCTCATGTCTGGTGCATCAGTTCTGGCCCAAGTCGTCTTATCGAAAGTTTTTCGCTGATTATACAAAGTGAGCTCTTGAAACTTTGAAATTTATTCTGAGGGGAGCAAGCCAGCAATGTTCTGAAACTGGCTGCAGCCGCGGAGGTCCAAAATTCTGGAAATCGCTAGTCCATTCCCGCAACACCACGGCTATCCCTAAGAAATCCTTGCAAAAAATGCCTTGTCCCTTTAATGTTGGAACAATTCACGAGCACAAAATGGAGGGCACGCACTAGCAAATTACTGATTTTGCTTCCCTCCGAATAACCGCATGAGTTAAAATCCCAAACGGCTCCGAAATATCAAATTTACCTGCAAAGATATGAATTTCAGTGGTCATCGCCGACTCGGAAGAGACGATTCTCACGAGTTCAACGACTACGACAACTATCTGTTCTACGACCAGGACAGCGATTCCGATGCTGACTTTCCAGACTGTGAAGATGCCATTCGAACTCAGATCTAGCTTTTTTTTGTCATAATTTTAGATGTTTTTTTAATTCTGAAAAATTGGGTTACGATCATTTGTTCCATTTCACTTTTCCCTTTCTTGTATATTTTGCTTTCCCTCTGTCCCCCAGCCCTGTATCATTTCTTGGTATAACATATCTCGTCTTTTTGAAAATTCACTAGTTCTACCTGAGAAAGATCAGCTCCTGATAGTACAACTATCAACCTCGCTACTTTGCAGCTACTCAATCAAGAATTATTGTTTAAGTGCTTTATCTTGTTTGATAATTTTCCTTTTTTTACTCTCTTACCCTGTGCCCGACGGGATCCGACGAAAACAAACCAAACATGCCATTTAACGAAATAAATGTTGATCATTTTAAAAATGTTGCGGATCTTGAAATTGCCTATTTTTTCTGAAAATGTCGGTCTTTTTGTTTTAGGTCCATACATCACAAAGTTTCAGGCGGTTGATGTTTGCTGTCTATGATCAAAACATAGTCAATATCTGATAAGGAAGAGGATGGCAGACACGAAATTTAAAAATTAAGCAGACAATTCAGCGAGAAAGCAGAATGTGGAAACACGGAAAATCCTATTGTTCATAAAAAGACAAGGGGCCGTTAAAAGCGCATTTAAAGAGATGTCTTCTGACTTCCAGGCATTTTTCCCTTCCGACTTCCGAGTTGGAAATTTTACTTCCTACTTCCAACTTCCGACTTCTTATTCTTGAATGTCACCAACGACTTTTTGCAGAAAAATTGCGAAATTTGTCCGTTTTCTATCGAAAAAACAAGAGAAAAATTGCCGAATTACCGCGAATAACATGAAATATGGTCCGAAATAACCGTAGGCTACCAAAATAGCTAAATTTTGAAAAGTTTAGTTCCGACTTCCGACTTTCGACTTCCGAGTTTGAAATTTCACTTCCGTTTTCCTAATTGAAAAAATTTGCTTCCGACTTCCGACTTCCGGCTTCCGGTAATAAAATTTTACTTCCGACTTCCGACTTCCGAGTTCCAAAATTTCACTTCCTGACAACTCTGCTGTATATATTTGAAGCTTATTTTGAATATTGGTAGCATATTTTCTCAATTTCTCGACAATTTCCTTTGTTTTTTTTCAGTGATTTTTTAGTTTTCATTTTCACGATTTACTCGAAAAAGCATCGGAAATCGTCGAAAAACTTTAAAAAATTGGCTTTGAAATATTATTACTTTGCTCTCGCGCCTTTAAATCGGCCTCTAAAAGGACCGAAGCTCTCAATATCCATCAATTTCAGAAAAAGTAACATGTAGTGAAAAATACTTGAAAAAATACAAAAAATAAAGACCAACGAAAATCCATTGAAGCATGGATCTGTTGAAGAGAATTGAAAATTATCTGCGAAGTTCAAAACAGTGCTCCAAAAGCTAAAAAACGAGATACATTGCTACGTTTTCATATTAACACTGATAGAATGGAAGCCAAAAACCCCACGGACCCAATTTTTGTGAATTTTAGGACTAAGACTGGGTTATACTTATCTCAACACATTTTGACAAAATTTTATTCATCAAAATATCCACTGGCTGATCAAAATGCATACTGTATCTCCTAAAACTCTCCCAAAAACCTCATATCTCCTCTCCTTTGAAACTACACTTTTTCTGTTTTTGATTTGCGGGTTTCCAGAATTTGAACAAGAGAAAACCGACAGTATTTGAATAATTTCCACAAACCCGACCGAAAACCCATCCATCTTCCCAATATGTATTTTGTCGTCGGTAATCATAGGTACACAAATCCCTTACCCATGAATAAACCTGTGGCAGATGTTTCAATACGAGCTCAGTGGCCAATGTCATAATTGACACCGGGTGAGGACGCGCGTAGCTGACCATACAGTCCCTCCGTCGAGGCGGCGGCAACCTATTTACCTGGCGCGCGTTGATTCGAAACAGCTGGCTGGTGCACAGTCTCCTCTTGCCAGCTCTTGCTTAATTGAAATGACACAAATCCAGGTTGCCTTCTTGCTTGCCTTGTACAGTGAATTTATTAATGTAAAACGACACTCGATCCATCATTCTTATTTTTTCTTCCCCTATACTTTTTTGCCATCTTCACCCAACCGTACACATATAATTCGTTTCGAAAAATTCCTCGCGTGTAGTTTTCTAAACATTTTTGTCCGTACCGTACCTAATTACACGTTTGGAACAAGAATCTACAAGTTGACGCCCTGGAAACGAAATATGACACAGACACGGAATTTCTCTTTTTTCTGAAAAAATGTCTACGAATTTTCGCTTCATTGAATTCTCCTGCTTTTCTGTTTCCATGTTTCCATTAGGCTTCTCTACTGTCCGATGGCATGTGTGAGACTATTTGGTAGGATGTGAGTAGTTACTCTTCTCCTTGTTTTGTCCATCCGGTAGAGTAGAAAACAATTATAATGTCTGAAAATTCTAATAGAGTAGGGTCATGTCTGAAAATTGCTTTTATTTGGAAATGTGAGTAGAAAATTACTCTAACATAATTTTTTTTCAGAAAAGAAATGTTTTGAGATGTTTTTTTTTTTCATTTTTTCATATTCAAATTTTCACATTTTCAATGTGAATCTAACGTGAACGCTGTTGAAGTAACGAAACAAAAATTTAAATTACTCAAGTAGTAAAAAAGTAGGATAAAATTATCATAAAACGGTTTTGACTGTTCAGTTGATTTTTCAAATTTTCAATTTATCGTAATACCTGTATTAGAAGAGCCATAATAGAAAAATCTTTTCGAAGTTGCGTCGTTTGAAGTTATACATTTCTATACGTTTTCAGAGAAAAATATTCTGGAAGTTTCATAAATTTTTAGAAATTTGTTGAAACATAGTTTTCACTAATACAGGTTATACGGTAGCTCATAAGGAAATCGTTCATTGAGCACTCACAAAAATTAGAGCTAAGTAAAATTAGAACCAATGTATATACCGTAACCCCTGTAATAGAAAGGCTCAAAATTCTGAACGTCGTCTTGGTTCAAATTTTTTTCGATTTCTAAAAAGGTATCAAAAATATATCTACTGATAAAATGTTGATGATACTGTAATACATATTTTATCAGTCGACCGATTTGTTTTATCTTTTACAGAAATTGAAGTAATTGAGCTTAATATGCAAGTTCACCTCCTATTGGATGATTTACAGTAGATACGTTTTTCAAAGACGTTTTTGTGAACGTTTACTCCAAAAAGAGCAAATTTTCTACCCCAATGTCACGTCTACCATGCAATTTGTCTTCTCACGCACATGTGTTTTGAATTCAGTATTACCTGTACTAATTTCTACTTTTGAGGAAAATGAAAAGGACAATCATTGTCCACCCCAATTCCCATGAACTTGACATATTTCTTTCACCCTTTTCTTTGAAAAACTTACTAGAAAAAATCTCCGGTTGTGTCTCCGATTCATAACACTCTCAATTTCTTCGCTCGCTGTGCCAATAAGTCACGGTAAGTGAGAGAGACGACGTGCGCAACTACGCTAAAAACGGTATGCAGCAATTTGTTAGCCCCTCCAGTAGTCTTACTCTGAATTTACCTCTTCTTTCTTTTTTCCCTTTGTCGTACCCATTTCCGTAGAAAGTTTTCTCGGGAAAAAGGTAGTAAGGGGTCACTCGTCTTGGTTCGAACTTAATGACACACACTACCGCACTTACTCTCGACGCGGCGCGCCTCTTCAGGGCATCTTCCTTCTTCCGCTCTCGAACCCTAGAGAGTCAAGAAACTTTTCCTCATTACATAATTGGAACACACACTGAAATTCAAGCCTTTTTGTATATTTATGGTATTGTTACCTTCTCGTTGACAATGCCACTTCAACAGGTCAACAGGAAGGGACAAAGCGGCAAAGCTAGACCTTGTAATTGACACCTTCCAAGGTCCGACTCCTCCTTGTATGTACCGCCCTTCAAACCTAGCAGTTAAAAATCAACAGTATGACTTACTAGTTTTGCATTTTCCAGCATTTTCTCCACAGTTTCTTTTTCTATTCTTTATAGTCCTTGTATGAGGTTGGTGCCAAAGGTTCGGTTATAATCCTTTAAAAGGGTGCTTCATCACCTTGTAAACCCAGATTTTAATGAAAATTTTAGAATAAGTTCGGGAAAGCTTACCTAGACACTTTTAAAAGCTTCAGAATCCGCTCGGCAGTTTTGTGCAAAAAATCTATTCAAAGACAATTTTCTTAACTTCTGGGAGGTTTCACGACTTTAAACTTAAAGTGTGGTATAGAATTCTACAAAATTTCATATTTTAGCCAATTTCTCAATTTTCGTACCACTTACCGTAAACACGCTAATCGTAAGCCACCCGAATCGTTGAATTTGAGCCCATGTATCTCATTTTCTGTGAGAGATATCAAAAAATGGTTAAATAATAAAATGTTGCTGATATCATGATAAAAATTTTTAGAGTTGACAAATTTTTGATATCTTTCAAAATAAGCGAGACATAAAAGCTACGGAACCACCCACGAGTTGCTTACTGTAGTGAAACTTAATGTTCAGTAGTGTCTAATGTACAGTAACGGTTTATTACAAATACAAACAAAAAGCGAGTCTTTGAAAAATCAAAAAGCAGCTGATAATTTGAAATTTTTGAAAAACTCTGCAAATGCAAAGTTTTTGATCTATATGCCTTTCACACCCTCCAAAATTTTCGAAGTGATCGGAAACTTTTACGTTTTTGTATACCTTATCAAGCGACTCTGTAATTAAGATGTGATTATGAAATATATGAGTAAAAAAACTTTTGCACCAACCTAGTAATTTGCCATATTGTAAAACCATTCCCCATGTCCAATCTCCCGCGTTTTCTTTTGTTTCTTGAGCATTCCTCCTCCTAACAATACTTAGATGTATTAAGACCTTCACGCCTTGTTCTTGTTCCGCTCCTCTAATTAGCCTTGAACATGTATTCATCCCATCTTTTTCCCGCCTGTTGATACTATTAGACACCTTTTTTTGACCTAAACGTTCCAATGTTTTCAGAAGGTCAACTATGAAATCGCGACTACAATTTTCTCTTTTACTGGTGAGTTGGAAGCGATCTAATTGTATACCCACATACTGTGATTTACTGTGTCTGTGTTGCAGATGTTCTTTGGTTTCTCAATTGCTATTCAAGACGACAACGAACTCATCGGTCAACCGGAGATTCAGTGTAATGCGGATACGATAGATATGCAGTTTCGAACAAGGAAACAATTCAATGGTTTTCAACTGAACACGCAACAAAAAATAATTAATCCGCTTTTTAGGCAAAGTTTATGTGAAAGGAAGTTACAACCGACCCGAATGCCGAGTGGATTATAGCACGAAAGACCAGTACGGACGACCTGTTGGAGGAATAAAACTCAATCATGGTGCATGCAACATGGACCGGCAACGAATGGTTTTAATTAGTGATCTGTGATGCGTTCAATGATCAATGATTCTTTTTTAGATTGCTCCCGAAGGGATGATGTTCTCCACCGTCCTGATCATCAGTTTTCACCCACTATTTCTGACACGAATGGACAAAGCATACCATATCCGATGCATGTACAAAGAGGCGGCGCGAACGGTGACTGCTGCAATTGATGTGAGGTGAGAGTTCATATAAAATGAAAAACCTGCATATACACAGCATAATCCAAAAAATACGTGCAGGTTTGCAACCGGATATGGTGAAAAACGATTTTGGGTATGAAACGAATAAAATAGGCATACAAATAGGAATATTAATACCAGCGCTGGTACAAATCGAGATATATTACTACCTCGTTTGATTCGGGTATTTTTGTTTCTGCATCTGAATCATGAATCCCGATTTTAGGATTCTTTTAGTGCTTCCAACAATGTTTATCGTTGTTATGTAAGTTTGGACAAAAAAGTACAAACACAAATTCGAAAAGCGAAATATACTGTATTCTCGCCAACAGAAGCCGTGAATTTTCAGCTCAGTTATCTTTGTTTCTATTAGAGATATCAAATAGCTGTAAACTGATAAATTATTCTTGATAAAATGATAAATAATTTATCAGTTTACAAAATTTTGATTGCTCCTATAGGAACCGAGTTAATTGAGTTGGAAGCACACGTAAAGTATGGGATTTGGTTTTAAATAATAAATAATACTAGTTTATTACGATGTGGAATTTTTGAGAAAATATTTGAGAAAATACGGTAATTTTTCTTAATTTCCAGCAACTTGCCCACCGAATCCGTCCAATCCGATCTACCGATGCCCACTTGCAGCTACACAATCCGACGGGATCAACTCGATGGTCCCATCCTTAAATACGCAAAGGTCGGTGACGAGGTGGTCCATCGTTGGCAGTGTGATTCTGGTAATTTCCTATCACTAATCATTGGTCATCAGTTCTCTTCTTCAGACGACTACGGTTTGCTGGTTCACAGTTGTTACGTCGAGGACGGTCAAGGAGAGAAACAAATGATAATCGACGAGAGAGGGTGAGTGAGATGAACATCAGGTACCAAGTCAGAAGAAAGATCAATTCAAAATTTTTAGATGTCACACTGACCGTCTTCTGCTAGGAGATCCAACATATGTGGAAGCGTTGAATTTGGCATATCGCGAGTCCTTTGTGTTCAAGTATGCGGATAGAATCGCTGTGAGGTTCCAGTGTGAAATTCGGTTATGTCTGAAGGAAGATGGAGGGTGTGATGGGATTACGGTAATTTGAATTGAAAAGAAAAAGTAGTAAATTAGGAATTTTCAGCCCCCAATGTGCTCATTCAAAGAAAACAATAACGTTGACGCGAAACAAGTTGTAAGTAACGTCGAAACTTTGTAGACTTCAAAGAAAATTCCAGAATAGGGTTAGAAGTGCCTATCTAGACATTTCTGAAAATTTCAGAATCCGCTCGTCAGTTTCATCCGAGTTGTATCAGTTTCAGTATCAAAAATCGAGTTTTCTGTTCAAAAGGACGTTTTGAAACATAGGACGTTTTTTAGGACGTTTTGAAACATAAAATTTGTTGTGCTTTACTTAAAATTTTATCAAAACTCTGAAACTTTCTGGAAACAACTTTTTTCAAGTTTTCGAATGGCTCCAGAAGTCGTCATCCTAATTTTAAGTATTTTTAAAAATGTTTAAGCGCCTAATTGACATTTTCGGTGAATTTTTCAACTTGTTAGCTTTAAAATTTTGATTTCAAGCAAATTTCTGATTCTTCCGGACGCGAAACCTTCAAAACTTCAAAGAAAATCGATATTGAATCTATTCGAAATCTTGAAACAAACAATTTTTAGAAAATTTTTGAAATATTAAATTTCATTAAATTCCGAGTAAAACTCAACAAATTACCTGTTTCGAAACGTATTGGAAGTTGAGAAAATGGTCGAAAATCACTAATTTTGCACTGAAAACGCGATTATCGGTGCTGAAACTCATATAACTTGGCTGAAACTAAAAAGCGGATTTTGAAACTATCAGAAGTGATCAGGTAGACTATTTTAAACCTAGTCTATAATTTTCATCAAAATCTGGGGTTTCGGTTCCCTTGTGCGAATTAAGAAAACAATTTAAATTTCCAGGTGAAACGTAGCACATTAGACAAAATGAACATTGTTCCAATCGATGCTGATTTCTTCTCCCAAACGCTCTACGTCATGGAGCAAGAGGAAAACGACAACTCTACCAGCAAAGAACTCATGGAAGTTTCAAAGAATACAATTTGCATGAGTTCCGCATTTGTCAGCTTTATTTTTGTGATCTCTGTGAGCACACTAGTTTTAATTACTGCCGTTTTCTCAGCCTGGCTTTACACTCAATGTTACCGGAAGAGAATGGCCAAGAATAGTTCCATAGTTCAATACGCTTGATTATCTGGTTACCTCTTTTTGTGTCCCTCGGGTTTCTATGTTTTTGTACTTTTAGGTACGTATATTTTCTTTTCTTTTTATCAAATTTTATCTTTTCGTTTCTTTTCCTTGTTTGATTTTTTCGCAATAAAAGTTTTATCATGATATCTTTTATTTCCTTGTGTGATGAAGTGAACCGAAACTTTGAGATGACAGGGCAAGCAAGATGCAAACATGGTTAGTAAGGATGAAATGAAAACATTTAAAAGAAAAAAATTTATTTTCCTCCATATCGAACGTAGCTGTTTCTTGGTGGTCCGGCATACGAGTTGTATGGCTTGACCATTGGCATCCTTGTGGTCTTCCATATCCACCGCCTCCTCCTCCATAAGGTCTATTGAATCCTCCATCGAATGGTGGTGGTCCATTATTGTAGTTGTTACCTTCAAAAAATATTTTTTAAAGATATCAAATCTCTAAAATTACCTCCAAATCCTCCACCATTTCCATAACTATTGAATCCTCCTCCATTATTGTAACCGTTGCCATAAGAAGGGCGACCGTATCCACCACCACCACCTCCCATGCCATAGGCTTGCGCTCCATAACCACCGCTGAAACAGAGTAATCTTAAAGTTAAACCATGCAAATATACTTACCATGAAGCAACGCCAACAAGGGCAGCCAAACCTAGAAGTACAGTTGTTCTCATCCTCGAAAGTAGATCAAAAATGAAACCTTTGATTTCGTCATACTCTTTAGGGTTTCTTATATACTACCTGATTGGAACCGCCCACTGACCCAAGAACAGTATCAAGAAAAGATAAGGAAGAGAAGAAGAAAAATCACCATCATCAGAGGTTTTTGTCGGTATCAAATCGCCGAAACCGAAGTGGAAATTTAGTTTTGCGTTGTGTTGTAACAATGGCGTCGTCCAGTGACCGAAAGATTTATTCGCTCAATTGAAACCGCGTTTAGAAAGATGTGGGTTTTCAAAGTAAAAAGAAAATATGGGGAAACACTTTCTATGAGACAATACTTTCGATGAGTCATGAGAATAGAATGGGCTTTTGGTTCGAAAATGAAGTTCACAGGAAGTAGGGGGCAACTAAGGGAAGGAACACAATAAAATGTTTTTTTGGTCGAGATGTTTGGGAAAGGAAAAGGAAGAATATTATTTTAAAGTGATATAATCACGCGGCAGCAGACTGTATGAACTTGGCAATCAATTCTGTTGGAAACGGGAAGATTATTGTGTTGTTCTTCTCGGAACTGAAATGTTTGATTAGAGTTCCTTCGAATTATTTTCACAAAGGAATCTTAACATCTTTCGAACCAGATATTGAGCACATAATTAAAAGGGCAAAAGATTTTTGGGGTCATTCCAAATCAGTTCAGGGGTACAAAATATTGAAAAAATTAAAATTTGTACCCCCCAATATGTGGGTCTGTACCAAAAACCGCGTTTTTTAGCAATTCAATTTAGAGCCAAAAATGAGTTTTTAAGCCATTTTTTCTCAGTCATATAACGGCGGAAAACAATCTTATAGTCAAGATTCTCAATTTTCAAAGAAAGTAAAGTTTTTTCGTTCATTTTTCGAATAAATCCAAGTCGTGGAAAAATCCTCAAAATTTTTCGAAATTTTTTCTGCAAAAATCTATTTTTCATGTTCCAACAACATATTTCATGTTCCACAACGTCCTAAAAGTTGATAGAACGTTTTTCAAAAATTGTTGTTTCGCACTGAAAAAAAGATTATATGGTACCAAATTTTATATAACTTAACTAAAATTGGCGAGCAGATTCTGAATTTTTCAGTAATCGATCTCAAAATAAGTTATTCGTTACCTATTCTGGAATTTATTAAAATCTGAGGTTCGAAGGTTCCATTCTCTTGTTAGTTCATTGCTCTTACCTAATACTATTCAGCGTTTGTAGATACCGGAGTTGAATTGCACATGGAGACGTTGCAATCTGGAAAAAGAGAAAAAGAATAGGAAGGAAACTACATACAATAAGTGGGTGAGAGGCTCTGAATAATTCATTGCATACCACATCTGCCGCATCCGCCAATGCTCTCGACGCGAGTTGTTCTCCCTCGGCGGCGATTATCTACAAACAAGAGCATTAGAAAGTAATAGGTTTCTTGTCATAAGATACTTTCGCTCCAGCGGCTCTCGCTGCCTCGGCTTCTGCCGCCATCGCTCGTTGAAGTTGTATCGGTAGACGGACGTCTTTGATTTCGACTCGTTCCACCTAGAACAATGAGTTTTTGGAAGAACGGAAAAAATGGGAATACTCACTTTAACTCCCCATGGGTCTGTGGCTTCATCCAACGCCGCTTGCATTTGCATAGAAATTGCATCACGAGAAGAAAGCATTTCAGCTAACGTTCGAGTACCCAGAAAATTTCGAAGTGTTGTTTGAGCCAATAGTTTTGTTGAGCGAGCTGCATCTTCGACATTGATAACCTAAAAAATAACAATGTTTTTTTTCTAGACATACTTACTATAAATAGGGCCACCCTATTCTATCTCAATTATCTCGGTTACTTTAAGAGGTATCAAAAATATGTCAACTGATAAAACGTTGATAGTATTGTACCAAGCATTTTATTAGTTGACCGATTATTGATATCATTGATAGAAATTAAGATAATTGAGCTCAAACTTTAAGTACTTTTTTATTATAAGAGTGGTTACGGTATATTCTATAGTCGTAGTTTTTCCAAGAATTGGAAAAAAAATAGTGTCACCATAAAAAAAAGGTAGTGTACCCGCCAAAAATCGACCTCCCGTAAAACAAAGTTATTTTCATAAAGTCCACTCACCGAAACTGTCGCATTTGATATTCTGAAATAAATTACAGCATCCACGGAAACCGTCACAGAATCTTTGGATAAAATCTGAAAAAATAATCCGTGGATCAGCTAGGAGCCATTTTTCTACCTCTTGTGGAGGAACATCGAATGACACCACACGAAGATCAATCTTCTTAAACGATTCTATGCATGGAATAATGAAGAATATGCCTGGACCACGTGCTCCGCCGTGCTTCAGCCTACCCAACCGGAATATTACCGCACGCTCGTATTCTTGTACAACCTATAAATTTGGGATTTAAGAAGTTAAGGGGGAAAAGGAAAAACTCACTTTTAAACAGAAAAATGCAGATAAGGGAAGTGTGAAAAGCACAACGAGATAACTGATAATTGTGATGATCCATCCGCAAATTGTGTAGTTTACTTTTTGATGGGCTGAAAATTTACCTCATTTTGGTTTTTCTAAATTACTTTTTGGGAAAACTGAAACTTCTCAAATTTGTAATACTCAACTTTCCAAGCCATTAAAATTCCCAAAACCAATTTTCGAACAAAAAAAATTGAAAAATGATTTTTGAAACAGTATTCAATTTTTGACATTCCAATTAGTATTTGACCATTGTTGGTGAAATTGAAATTTTGAAAATGTTCAACTAGCCTAAGTGGGAAGTACAGTCATTTCACTAGTTTCGAAATTTTCAAAAAACACATAAGGGGGGACCCTTATGTGATTTTTTTCGACCAAAAATGTTTTTTTTCGAGTTTTTCGATCTTTTTTGATCAGACAGACAAACAATCCGAAATACGAAAAAAATGGAAAAAATTATATTGAGAGCTCAAAATTTGGCTCAAAAATACAGAATTTTTGACACCGGGCCTTCCGGGCCGGGCCCGGGCCTTAAAAATTTTCTCAGGCCCTGCCCGGCCTGGCCCGGGCCGGCCCGGAATTTTACAAGTATGATAGTAACAATATTTTTTTCAGAGGGGCCACCAAGTCTAAAAAATTTGTGGAGTTTTTCAACTAATTGAATTTCCAAGTCTTTGTTTATGTGGGAATGGCAAACAAAATTCAATATGATCGGGCGCAGTTGGCACCCAATTAAAGACGTCGTTCTCTCTTGTTTTGGCAACGAATTTGTACAATTCGGGAGCCAAAAAATGACTGAAATTGTGAAAAAAAAGTACTTGTGTTGCTAGACTTACGGTCAACAATACGGGAAAGCGGAGCTCGGACGGTGCCTTGGCGTTGCATATCTACTCAGATGACGTTTTGCATTTTTTTTTCTCTGTTCTGCTTTTTCTGTGTATCAATCTTCTTCTGAAAACACCAAGGATCCATTCAACATTAGATTATCGCAAAAAAAGGAAGAAAAAGAAAACACTCAAGAAATGAGCAAGATGCCGAAAAGGAGAAGTCATACAAATGGTACCGTGGACAATTTTTGCTCTGTCGCTGCTCCCAAGGAGAAGAAAAAATATGAAGGATGCGGAGGGCATGAAAGGAGGCCGAGAAGGACACAGAAGGTGAATATGTGTGTATGTCTACTGGGCAATATTTTTCTGTTTGGGTGGGAGGAGAAAGATGCCAGGAGGGGGAGCTGGGTGGAGAAAAAAGAGAAGGACCCAATGGATATAATTAGAGCCAACATGGAATGAGAAGAAGATGGGGTCCATACTGACCCTCTTGACTTTTTCTTTTCACTTCGTTTTTGTGTTTTTGTTGTGTTAGTGAATAGGATATAGAGATGGAAAGTGTGGAAGCATTACGAAGTAATAGGATTTGCGCCGCTTCTGGCTATAAATGACAGAATGAGTGTTGAAGGAAAAAGAAAAAAGGAGGATTTGAGATAATGCAATGAATCTGAGCCTTTGAAAACCAGAGTCATGTATAATATTGCTTTTGGTTCGGCAACAGAGACTGAAAGCAAAATTGGGGAATTGAAATTTTTCATGATTTTTGAGCTGAAGATTAATTTCCAGAGTTCGGTGTGTATTGAAAATTTCGAAATATGGATTAATTTTTACAGGATTCGAAAAACGATTTTTTGGAAAAAAAACACAACTATGGCTTCCGTAATTTTGAGAATTCGTTCATTCGTTCTGATTTTCAAAATTGTCAGCAAAAATAACTTAAGTTTATGTATATTAATTAATGTCAAACTTTCTCAATTCATTCAACTTTTCGAAAATTTGTAACTGAAAATGAAAAACGGATTAATCCGAAAACTTCGAATTTTGAAATATTTGAAGAACAAAAAAAACGAATTAACCCAAAAATTGCGAATTTTCATTAGTTCAAAAAAATTTTTTAAATATTGAATAAACTCAAAAATTTTGAGTTTTTCATTTTTTTTTTAATAGATTCTAAATTTTTCAATATTCCAAAAATTCGGACTTTTCAATATTCCAAAACATTTGAAATTTCCATATTTCAAAGTTGTACAATTTTCCAATATTCCAAAAATTAGGAATTTTCAACATTCCAGAACATTTGAAATTTCCATATTTCAAAATTTTCCAAAATTCCAAAAATTCGGACTTTTCAATATTTCAAAAATGCGGAAGTTTTGAATTTTCCAATTTCCCAGAAATTAGAAATTTTTCCAAAAATTCAGAATTTTCCAATGTTTTCAGAATTTTTAGTTTTTTTTTTCTGTATTCTAAAAAGCTTTGAAAAATCAGATTAATCCAAAAATTCGGAATTTCAGAGTATCCGACCAGACAATGGATAATCAATAGTATATGGAAGCTTGTTGTGATTCTATTTATTCAAATTAATTATATTGATGGACCAAGATTTCAAAAATACGAAATTAATAATATCGAGAAAAAAAAATTAAAAGATATTTTTCACTTTAATCTTCGAATTTTTCGAGAATATTATCTTTAAATGAGCGAAGTAAAGAAGCCATAAATGATGAAACATTTGGAATAAGCGAAAATTGAGCCTACTGAAAAGTATTACTGTAAAAGAAGATCATTTTGGTTTAAAAGTCAATCAAAAAAGGTATAAAACAAAAAACCTCATGAATACAATTCTCATCATTTACAGTTCATCTAAAATTCTTAAGTTTTTTTCTCTGTTCCCATTTTCTCTGTTCCCATTTGTCCATCTTATTTTCCATGCTGGACCTTCTCCAGCCAGACTACCACTCCATCTTCCTCCAGCCTTCTCGAGCCGTCCATTCCCTTTACAACTACTACTTGATGTCTTTTGAATAGTGTGTGATACTCATAAAATTGCTCTGTGCTCGCGAAATAGTTGCAACATAAGAAGAAATGTGCGGAATGGGAGAAGAATAAGATGGAGAATTAGAATAAGTGGGTTGGAAGACGGCGAAACTTATGGGAAACGGGTTGAGCTTCGAAATCTCAAAGGGAATCAAAAATTGTGTTCACCACATCAAATTGAAGAAGATTCCAGAGATTAGACCAAAAAAACCAACAACATGCGAAAAAAGAAAAAAACTGAAAGGAATCATCCGAGGTTAGAGTTGAAAAAAAGCGGCATGTGCGGGCAGTTGAAAGAGGCTCAAATAGAATTTGAGAAGGGGGCGTGGTGGGGCACAAGAAGTGAGAAGAAGACGGGGCGGCAAAAAGCACCAGTATTATCTTTTTGTGAACTGAATACGGATGCCGAAACGAAAAAAGGGAGAAGGAAGAATAAAGAAAAGGAATACAAGCGGTCCATAGTGTCCCTCCCTTCGACCATGACGCGGAATAGACCAACGGGCGACACATGAATTTGATTCGTGGTGCCGTCCCATCCTCTCTCTCTTTTTCTTTCTCTCTCTCTTTACAAATTGAAAGAAAATTCATGAAGAAAAGTCATTCATGGAAATTGGTTCTGCCGAGAAATGAAAATATATAAATATATTTTTCGGGCTTCTTCCGTCTTCTCAATTTTCTTCTCGCTTCTGGTGTTAGTTTTTATGGTGGAAATGTGTCACTTGATATTTGGAATTCGAGCATCTATTTCTCTTGAGGGCCTCTTTCTGTTTTCCAGTGCCTTTCTTGAAAAGAACCCAATTCTTATCGTCTTTTTTCATCTGATGTGTTCTATTTTTTGGAGCTCCCCCCCTCCCCTCCTCCTGAGTCAAAAACTCCTAGACACGTATATATGTATACTGACTTGAATATAAAGTAGGTAGATGGAAGGCAAGGAAAAAAGAGAAAATACTACTTTTACTTTTTAGCGTCAAAAATGAAAGACAACATAAAAAAAGTGCGCGGTAAATTCAATTTCATTTTTTTTCATCCCGCGTACTTCACTGCAACAACTCGAAAAAAATTCTTTTTTTTCAATACATCAAGTCTTTTGGGTCCTCCCCAAAGCAATAAAGTAAAATAGACAAGAAAGAAAGAGAGATGTAGAGTGAAAAGAGCAATAGAAAAACGATGTAGAGGAGGGGGGGGGGGGGGGGGTCTGGGTGGGAGAGAATTTATTTTCTGTCACATAAACATTTGATGTGACGAAGTTCTTCTCCGGAGCAAGAAGGGATGAGATAGAGGAGAGAAATACGCCATTCCGTAGATTGCTCAGTATCTGTCAATCAGGACCTTCTTTCTCTCCAGAAATGTCAAAAGATCGAGTCTCTTGTCTTTCCTCCTTCTCATTTAAGATCATTCTCCATTTGGGTTGGTTCTATCTCTTCTGTCCGTTGATATTCAAATCCAGGTGATTACTCTTACGACAAATGTGTATTTGGTGTCAACAAAAATAAAAAGATTATGAAGTGACGTCTAAGAATCAGTGTGAACATATTTTAGTTGA